AGGTGGCCAAAGTATTGGAGCCTCAGCTTCAGGATCTGTCCTTCCAGTGAGCACTCAGGACTGATTTCCTTAAGAATGGATAGGTTTGATCTTCTTGCAGTCCATGGGACTCTCAAGAGTCTCCTCCAGCACCAGAATTCAAAAGCATCCATTCTTTGGCGATCAGCCTTCTTTATGGTCCAGATCTCACTTCCATACATCACTACTGGGAAAACCATAGCTTTAACTCTATGGACCTTTGTCGGCAAGGTGATGTCTCTGCTTTTTAAGATGCTGCATGAATACTGGGCTGCAATAATTTGATTACAACACTGTTTTGATTCTGCAGAAAAAGTAAGTGGTCAAAAATAACAGTTCCATATAAAAGGGATAGAATGGAAACCTAGTGGAGCTTAGTTCACAGAGTAAACTGATATGAAGCAGATCATCACAGCATCTGGGCAATTTAACCTCATCATTGCCATGGTGGCTTAAATAATTTTTTCCAGGAAACCTGAGATAATTTCCTTCATAGGAATAGCCTTCTGTAAACCTGTCACAGAGAAGTCCTTACTGAAATATTCTAGGAGAGGTGATAGATGTGAAACTTCTCCTGACTTTGCTAACAATTTTTGATGGGTTATGTGCAAATTTACCTTATAAGGAAATGTTATCATTCTTGTTTCTAGTTGCAAGGCATTGCCAGGAATTGGAAGTCAAAGAAAAGATGTGTGGTTTAAGAACAGTTTGGCAAACAGCTTTATTGGAGAAACTGATAAAACAAATAAAAGCACTCTTGATTTACAAGCATAACTCAGTGGTAGCATATATGTTTTGCAGGCAAAAGGTCTTAGATTCAGTCCTCGGGGAAGACTCATGTCAGACAGCCAGACAACTGAGACAAAACTGAGCTAGATGGACCAATTCTCTAAGCTATGTTTATAAGGCAGCTTCCTATGTACACCCTGGGGGTCCTGTAATGAGGCACAATTTAAACTTGAGTTAGATACAAGATACTACACACACACCCCATGCCAATATAAATCTCAAGCATCTTACATTTATAATTTAGTTCCTGGGGAAAAGCAGACAGGACTTTGGCAGGAATACACTTACTCCATGGTCCTTTGCATTCCACTCATTCTAGGTTGCCCCTGCTATCACAGAGAGACAGCTAAGAGCCAGAGGAAACCTCCAGTTGGAGGGCAAGACTGACTAATTCCTCTGTCTACTAAATGGGCAGAATCAGCTCAGAGCCTGTCCTGACAACCAGTCTTTGGGGCCTTGTTCAAAGGAGTGGCCACCATAGCTTCCCTTCCCTTGGAAAGGATTTTACTCTGCAAAAGCCGCACTGTATAGGATTCCAGCGGTAGGGTCATTTGAGGCAACCTGAAGAATCAACTGCTACATTTTCCCCTCTCCATTGTTCTGCTTCAGGCTGCAGGCTCTCTCTCTCTCACACCCACACCCACATGGTGCAGTCCAGCCTTACCACTTACGGTAATTCTGCTGACTATATGAATACTCGGTTGCTTCTGCCAGTGCAGAATTGGTATTCCAAACTCTACTGTCTAGATCAGCTGTCGTCAACCTTTTCAAGACCCACTTTTAACCTGTTTAGAGACCTTTTACCATAAATTTGCATAGTGGCAGTGTTCCTGTTGCGACCCACGTTGGATCAAGCCATGACCCAGCTGTTGCAGACCAGTGGCCTGATCCATTAGCGCAAACAGGGCCCTGCCCCACCAACTTCATTCTTCCCTTAGCCAACTTGCATCTGCCTGCCTTCTTACCTAAATCCATTCCAGGGAGTGGCACTGACAGCATCCTCTTCCTTAGTCTCAGTGTTGGCCTTGCTGACTCTGACTGTCATTGACTCTGACTCCACCTAGTGTTGACCTCCCTGCTTTCTGCCCTGCCAGGCCCAATGGGGCACCAGCCACCATTGATCTCTGAGGCTCTTTAAAGAATAACACAGGTCTCAAATTTGGAAGCCAATTTTGTTCCAGGAGAGTTCACATAAGCGCAAGCTTCTGCCAGAGAGGCTAGAAAACTTTGTCATCAGAAACAGACAGCTGGTCCAGGCCAGGCCAGCCAGAAAAGCGACCCAAAAGGAAACAGCAGGGTCTGGGCTAACACAAGGTGATGAATGGTACTAATTCTGATACCTGAAATGATTCTATTCCTAGATTTAATTTATCTGAAATGGATGGCCTACCTCCAACAAACATGTATGCAGTTACTTAGTGCTACAAGGGAAGAAATGGTTTTCTGAATAATGCCGAATGCACAATTTTTATTACTCTGGCACATATTTCAGAACTGAACCCTGTTGAACTCCAATTCAAATGCAACATTGGACAAATTAAGTCTTGCCATTGTACTAGGGCATTCCCATTTTCCAGAGAAGCCAAACTACCTAACTAGCTTGGAAAGCTGAAAAAAATGAAGAGGTTTGGGGAAAATATTAACATCAGAATTCTCAGCACCCATTTATATATACCCATTTATATACAGACCTACAGGGAGAGTAGCTATTGTTTCAGTTGCCAGGCAGCTTACAGGACTAGATTTGCTGAACAACTGCTTTACATACCTAGTTCAGATGGTTTTCAGGGACCAAAGTGACACTGGAATTTGAACTCGTCTCAGAAATTGATGTAACTAGCCAGCATCCCCTATCCTATCCACCATGGGAGAGAGAGGCCGTGGTCATTTGCCAGCTGTTTAGTTCTGCTACTGAACACTGGGTATTTGTTGAGGGGCAGCCATGCACTTCCACAGCAAAGACTCTGCAAGAAACAATCGTTGGCCTGCCACCTCGTGGGCAACAGTTGAACATCAAGAGAACTCAAGCATTATTCCTTTTTAAAAACAGGATTGGTTTTATTACACACACGTGAAGAAGTGCGAGAATAGCACCAGTGCCAATGAGCGCCGATCTCTGTTTCAGATCAAATGGCTTAGTTTGTTAACCTCTTTGCTTTCAAAACTGAGAGAGTTGCTTAGGCAATTGAATAATATCAGTGTTGGGAGTAGATAGTGAAAGCTTTTGTCCTGTGGCATTTCTCAGGATTTAACTAAAAGTCTTGCATTCTGTTTTAGAAGTCACTTTGTTTCTGGAGCTAGAGATGTTAAAACCTACCATACCTTTTGGTACCGAGTAAGATAGAAAGCCAGCAAGAGCCACAGTCCTATGAACACGTCCTTGGAACTAAGCCCCATTGTCCTTGGTGGGACTTCTCAGTTGTTGTAAGTTTGTGCAGTGCCTGGATTTGAATTCAGCATGTTAAAATATAAGTGATGTTAAAAAAGTAAGCCAGGCCAGCTTCCTGATGAAGTCAAGGTGATGGCTCATCAAGGAAACCACCAAGAAGCCAAACACTCTCTGCCAGATGCAGAGGGGTGGTGCTCCACCCTGGGCTCTGGGTAGTTAGCAAAAGACAATTCAGAGTTGGGAGGAGAGGAGTGTCAGAGTTGCAGTGGCCTGATGTCAGGAAAAGGGGGAATAATTGTGTTTGGGGAAGCAGTTTGCAAGCTGGAGAAAAGAGGGTCACAGCACAATGCTGGCTGACAGTTTGGGATCCAATATTGCAGCCATGAGGGAGACAAAAACTTTGAGTGTAATGCGTTGAACCACAGTAGGCTCAGGTTGTATATATGTGTAAATAAACCATATATCATAAAGACACCACAGTTTCCACTGTGTAAAAGGACCCTGGTTAAGTGTGCCTTGTATCACTGGAATCTTGCACTGCTCTGAGATTAGGATGGTGTGTAACAGAGAAGGTGGAGTCTCTGGTTGCATGGCTGCAATCATATGCACTTGCTTGGGAAGGTCCCATTAAATTTAGTAGGACGTAGGGTAAACTTAGGGTACATTCGGCCATGGAGAGTATTGAGTTCTCCTGATTATATTGTTCATGCTTCTGTCCCATTTTCAAATGTTCCTTTCACAAAGCAGTACCCATTGTGTTATGGAACTGTGGCTTAAATTATGCCAGCATGTTGTGCTAAATTTCATTCACACTAATGGGTGTGGTGTGATGCAAGAATCAACAACCGGACAACATTGCTACTCACAATGTTCCCTCATGAAAACCGCAGGAAAGAACTGTATGCCAATATACTGCCCCAGATTTGTCTCTTTACTCTTGAGATTTTCTGGATTAAGGGGGCTGAAAAAAGTTGTGTTTTTTTTCCTGGAATCAAATAGCATGGAAATGAGCACTAAACATGTACTATATTCCTTAGTTTCCCAGAAGTGGCTTTCATGACATGCGAAAGCTCAAATGTAAAATGAAAATTAACAGTTAGGAAATTGTCAGGGGAACTGAATGAATAAATAAAAGGGCCAGCCATAGTTCATTTTGAAGTCCCATGGAACATTAAGCACACAATTTTGATTGGACCATTCCCAAAACAGAGCAGATTTTCAAAAACAAAAACAAAACAAAAAACACCCTCAACATCTATCTAGAAACTATTCACTGTAGATGTCTCTTAATAGCTAACTTTCCATTATAAGGTACCAGGAAGGGAAATCAAATAGACTCTGACAACTTTGAATTTGGCAAGCAAGTAGTGGGTAATAATAAAAAGGGTACCAAATTGGAGCTATGATGAAGTTCAAGAGAGGAGGATGTGATGGAAAGTACACTTCAAAGCTCTATTGTGAACTCAGACAAACAGAAAAACAAAGCGCTATGTGCATTTGATGGAAAATGTAATGTCCAGCTGTTTATTTCCTCTTCACTCTCATTTTCAATACTTTAAGGAACCAAAACATTATGGATTCAAATTAATCCCATAAATCAAGATAGAATTGGAACCATCCACTACATTAAAGAATTTTCAAAATTGCTCCTTCACTTTATGCCTTGCACTATTTTAACCAATTCTCAACCCCTCTTTCACAGTTTTGTTGCCCCTGCTCTCCTTATTGATATATGGTACTGTGGTGATCACACAGGGCCCCTGGACGTTTCACGGTCTATTGACCCTGTGCCACCACTGCGGTTGCTTTCTTTGCTGCCACCACCCCACTTCTCACAGCGACACATGGAGTCCAGACAGTTGTTAACATAAACAAATAGTCAAGTTTATTTTTAAGTGCAGGAACAAGCGTATGGTTTCAGTTTATTTTTCTCTTGTCAGTTTCTTAAATCTTAGTTCCTAACAACTTCAAACTGAATTATTCCCAACTATCTATCTAACTCCCTAACAATTCCTCTCACTCTCTCACAATACACCTTGACCAACCCACTGCCTATTTCACCCTCTTCCTTCTCCAACACCCAAGCCTCAACTCCCAACTGACAAACCTCAACTCCCAACTCCCAAACCTCAACTGACTTTTTCAAAACCTCCCCTCTAACGTCTACTCGCCCCTTGCATTCTCACTGGCCAATCACACCACATCCATTTTAACCCTTTCCTTGACCCATCCTAGGAGGCAAAGGCCACAGATACACACTATGGATGGTCCGTGGGACACAGGTGGCGCTGTGGGTTAAACCACAGAGCCTAGGACTTGCCGATCAGAAGGTCGGCGGTTTGAATCCCGGCGACAGAGTGAGCTCCCGTTGCTCGGTCCCTGCGCCTGCCAACCTAGCAGTTCGAAAGCACGTCAAAGTGCAAGTAGATAAATAGGTACCACTCTGGCAGGAAGGTAAACGGCGTTTCTGTGCGCTGCTCTGGTTCGCCAGAAGTGGCTTAGTCATGCTGGCCACATGACCCGGAAGCTGTATGCCGGCTCCCTCGGCCAATAAAGCAAGATGAGCGCCACAAACCCAGAGTCTCCCAAAGATATCCTGCAAAGCAGCAGAGGTTTAGGATCAGAGTTTTTCTTCTCTTAGATGGGCTACCTTCCCAGGTTGATGAGCTCCATCTGCCCCTTACGTAAATTACATAAATAATTATATAAATTACGTTAAAAAGCAGTCAGTGAGACAAAAAAGCAGTATTTTGCAGAAACCAAACTGCAGTGGAACGGAAACAGCACTGATTGTGATGAAGACAGGCCAGAATGGAAATCACTGCCTTCTTACATCCCTACTGGTTACAATGAACTGACCAAACTGACTTCCTTGGCAGAGAGCTCAAACAGTGGGGTGCTTCTACTGAGAAGTCTATTCATTACTGACACTTGATAGACTTCTTATAAGATGCAGAACTCTTCATGGTATGACCCTTTTTGGCTTGAGGTGGAACATAAAGAAGAGGGCAACTAGGACCATCACCTTCTTGGAGATGGTGCCCTGCCACTGGAACTCCCTGCCTAAAGAGTCTCCCCTAGCCGCTTATAAGGACAGAGATGGGGGGATAGTGGCCCCCCAGATGTCGGACTCCCATCAATCCCAGCCAGCATGGATAACTGGCTTTAAAAATGTAGTATGAATTATCCCAATTAAAGACAACCTTCAATTTAATACTGAGTATTTTTACTGCAAACTTTTCTGTGCACTTGTTTCCACCAGACTTTTCAAGTATATTCTTAGTATCTGGATTTGTTGTTGTTGTTGCTGCTGCTGCTGCTGCTGTTCCCATCATCGTCATCATCATCATCATCATCACCTTTTGGTTATGTGTAATGTGGCCACTTTCAAGAAAGAGGCTTAGTGATCAACCAATCAAGCTGTCCAGTCGAATGTGCAGTTCAGTCAAACTCCACATCATTTTATCAGGGAAGTCTCTGGCGTTTGCTGCCGAACACTCGGGGAGAAGGAGTCGGGCAGCATCGAGGGAATAATGGCCATGAAAAGGATCTTTTTGCTTTCACTTCTCGAAGCACGCACTGGACAAGGGAGCACAGCATGTTTCATCAGAAACAATGAACTCTCCTTTTCAACTCTCTGGCATTTTGGCAAAGCTGCTGATGGCTCAGAAACCCAGAGGACAACGTGTTGGCCATGCTGAAGCCCACTTTTGTTCCCTCAGACAGGCACTGCTGAAAGTGCTCCTGTTGTCACTAACCAACTTCCGAGGCCACATTTACATGTCGGCATGTGTGTACGTGAGCCTTTGCTCATTCCGCAATTACAAATGCAAACACCTACTATTTCCAGCCTGACAGGCTGCCAAAACCTTTGTATATGAGTTGGCACGAGAGATTACTCCCGTGTCCATTCATCGTATTAGCAAGGCTCAATAATAATAAAAGAGACATCCGAGGCCAAACGCGTTTTAATCCTTTTTCTTTCCTGCACATGGTTTTCTAGTGGTTTCACATTTCCTTCTTCCCCGGTCATTCCATAAATCCTCATCGTGAAGCATTTCACATAATGCATCTGTTTGCCTGCTGGCTCTTTTGGAGTTGCAGGTAAATCATACAAATCCTCAGGTCAAAAGAGATTCACTCTAAGCACTCTGAAAGAACAGAGTGTCCTGACTTTCCCTGAAATTAAGGATGACCTCCATTCTGATAGCCACAGCTATTTTTTTTATCTTGCCAGAGTCCTAGGCAGCTGGTCTCCATTTTTGTTTGCTTGCTTGCTTGCTTACAGCTTCTCACCTGTTTATATAGTTGCCTTACTGGGTTGTGCTCCAGGGTAGGTGTTTAACAAAAATGATGCACCACAGCACAAAACAAGCCGGTGAAGGCTGAGCATCATGACTGATTTTTTTTTGGGGGGTAGGGAATGGAATTAAGTGCTTGGAACATGGAAAAGTATCATTTTGTTGCAGATCCTATTTGAGGTACTAGTAGTAGCACTTACTATTACAGTGGTACCTCGGGTTAAGTACTTAATTCGTTCTGGAGGTCTGTTCTTAACCTGAAACTGTTCTTAACCTGAAGCACCACTTTAGCTAATGGGGCCTCCTGCTGCCGCTGTGCCACTGGAACATGATTTCCGTTCTCATCCTGAAGCAAAGTTCTTAACCCGAGGTACTATTTCTGGGTTAGCGGAGTCTGAAGCATAACCTGAAGCGTCTGTAACCCGAGGTACAGGTGCAGAACATGGGGCAGAACATTCCTACCCACGGCCATCCATCCCTGGGGACTATTAATGAGGTAGAACCACCTCAAAGCTCTGCTGACTCCTACTGATCAGGGAGAGCCCCCCCTTGCCTCTCACCTTCCATTCTGCTCAATTCACTACATCATAGTTGTGGCATCCTACGGCACTCCCCAGGCTCAGTGCCCAGTTCAGCAGAACCAGTCACCATGCCCTAAATTTGACCCCTAGGGTGGAAGATAGTAGGGAGGAGATTCTTTTCCTCTTTTTTTGTTGTGCAAGGTTGGCGCAGCAAAGGAGCCCAAACTGAGACCCTTCAGTGGATTCTTGACCAGCCTTGCTCCAGTCCCACAACACCCTGTTTTGGGACATTAGATTGCCTAGTCCTCACAGGAACGCTACTTGCCCAGAGGCTTCCATAGAGGCAGAGTTTGTCCCCCACCACTCCTGGAGCTTGGCAGAGGAATACCTCAGCCCAGTCCTAATTTGCTTCGAGAACACAGAATGGAGGTTAAGATTAAATCTGCTGCTTCTAAATGTGACACTGGAGTCCAGCTCACGCTGAGTTTCAGCAACAGGATGGGATCTCACCTTTGCTGAGCTTATTTATTTATTTATGTGGCGGAAAACACTTTTAACCCAGCACTAATCTAATGCTCCTTCCGTTACTTGGAGCAGCTTGTAATAAAGACAATAATATTTCAACTTAAAGGAAACAGCACAAATAGAGACAGGTTATCTTCAGTCTCAATCAAATATGGTCCTCAGATAAAAGCAACTATCTACCATTTAGTCTTGACTATATGGCAAAAGGGTGAAGGGTGGTAGCACAGTGATTGAATATCAGCTTTACTTGCAGAAGGTTCCAGCTTCAATTTCTGGCATTTACAGCAACGGCAGGGAAATGACTCCTTTCTGAAATCCTGGCAGTATGGTTCAATATAAGGCAGCTCCCTATGTTCCTATGGTGCCAAGAAGGGGGATGGTAGTCGAACTTCATAAACCACGGTGTTCCATAATTTAATCCCAAGTGAATAGGCACCCCAAAATCCCAGATTAGCAGTAGGTTCTACAAATTCCAGAGTGTTTTGGGGGCATGCTAGACCTCACAGTGCATAGATGCATGGAACAATAGACACACTAGGTCTTGTCAAACACGGACAGTAGTCTCAGGGATGTTACATTATGATGGGTTCAACTGCACTCGGAATGGTTCAATCCTCATAGCGCAATAAAATAACTGACTGCACTAATCACAATGTTATTAATCAAGAAAGTTTGCTTTAGTCGTGCAAAAGAACTACTTAAACCCATACATAAATCTCTTACCTTTGGCACATAACTCTTTTTTTTTTATTCCAAGGTCTTTCCCATTGCACCTTCTGTCAGATTCTAGCTATAGGCTTAACAATACAACATTTTGTGTTCATTTCCGTTAGTTAGAAAAGGATTCCCACTGGTGGACTTGAAACATGGAAAAATTATGTATTTGAAATGTTCTGTTCAAATAACTATGTTTTATGGGTGTCTGTTTTCAGAAACACAATGAGAGCCCAAAACCTTCTGTAGATTAAATATATATATTTAATAATAATAATAATAATAATAATAATAATAATAATCCCAACCGTAATTAGATACATTGACTTGGTAATCTCTTCCACAAAGATTTAAGGCACAGCCCCTGGGGTCAGTCAGCTCGTAATGGGATGCAAGAGATAATTAAACTGCTAGTACCTATGTATTATGTGCTTCAGCAGATTGCTAGACAATATTCCATATGTTTATTTGCTTTTATCATTTTCACAATGCATTTCCTGCATAATATTTCATAAGGACTAGCTTAGTAAACAACCTAAAATGGCTGTTGATCCTCTCAGGAAAAGCAAATCACTAAGGTTCTACTGTAGTCATGCAAAGCCCGGCTACTATTGCAACATTCCTCTAAGTAAGGAATGAGGAACTTGTAGCTGCTTCCCATGCTATTGAACTCCAGTTCCCATCAGCCCCAGTCAGCATGGCCAATGGCCAGCAGTGGTGAGAATGGAGGTCCAGCCACAGGTTCTATAATCCTGTTTCAAGAGATGTATCGGAAATGGCTCTTGCATATACTTTCTGGATTCTCTGGGGTCTCTTAAATCTGTCGCTAAAAACTGTTTCCCTGTTTTACCTGCAATAAGCCCACTAATTATATTATCTGAATGAGATATAGAACAGTTTCTCATGTACCTGAACCAAGTGACCCGAGAGAAAATATGTTTCCTACTGCTTAACAATTTTTTGTTAGATATTTATATTTCCCAAAAATAAATTATATCATTGTCCCAGTATTATCATAATTATGTTAGCATCGACTCTCCAAAAATGGTTGGTTAAAAGTGGATTTAGGGAAGCATTGTTGAACTTGCATTACGTCCAGAATTGCCATAGGTTCCAGGGCCTTAGGATGGGAGCAGACATCATAAGGGGCATGTAACTGCCAATTCTTCAGAACCCTATGCAGATTGCTGCCACTATTGGCAACTTTCCTCCTCCCTGGGCAGCTTGGTTTCAGTGAGTTCGAAGGGGAGGAGGTGGTGGTTTGGATGAGCTCTAATGGGAGGGTTTGGGCAAGGGATAGGGTAGGGTGGGCACACAAGGTGAGCAGGGACAGCAAACCCTATTAAATATAAGTATTAGCCATTTTAGGATAGCATACCCTCCAACATCCCAGTGATGAAAATTGGGACATGTGTTTTTTGGTCCCACACTCTCACACGGGCCCAATCTCCCCTTCCCCATCAAATTTTCCCCTTGAAGGGGTGGATTCATGTGCCCCTCCCCTATTATTATTAATTGAATTTATATACCGCCCTATACCCAGAGGTCTCAGGGCGGTTCACAGAACAAAATCAAAACATAAAACCACAAAATATATAACCAAAATAAAAACAACAACCCAATAGCCCCCCACAAAGAAACACATTTTAAAAGGGCACAGGATGTAAATCAGCTCAGACAAAGACCTGGTTAAAAAGGAACGTTTTCTGCCTGGCGCCTAAAGGTGTATAATGAAGGCGCCAGGCGAACTTCCCTGGGGAGAGGGAAGTCACTGCAGAGAAGGCCCGTTCTCATGTTGCCACTCTCCAGTCCTCTCAAGGAAGAGGCACATGAAGGAGGGCCTCAGAAGATGATCTCAGGGTCTGGATAGGTTCATATAGAAAGCAGCAGTCCTTTCCCTAACACCTACAGACATGCCCTGTCCAAACCGGACCATTACCCCCAGCCCATTTCCTCCCTTCCCCTCTGCACCCACCTTTGCAGGACTGCTCCCCCCCTCCCCCATGCAAAGTCCCCTTCAACTCTAGCCCTGTCTTCCTTCCACATACTTCCACTCCTTGCCTCCCCCATCCCACTCTCTGGTGAATGCTCCCAGTCACCAACCCACCTCCCTCACTTACCAAGCTCCCAACCGCTTGCTTGAACTGCCATTTATCCCAGCTCTCCCAGCTGCCATTACCTCTAGAAGATGTTTGCCCTTCCCACTTCTCTCCCTCCACATTCCAGTTGCATCCCCAGTATCTGCCTGCCCCCTGTCTGCATGCCTCTTCTTGAGTCTTCTTTACCATGGAGGCTCCTCTTTCATAGAATCATAGAGTTGGAAAGGACCCAAAGGTCATCTGGTCACGCCCCCTGCAATGCAGGAACCTCACCTAAAGCATCCATCATCGTCTGCCTTGCCTGCCTGCCGCCATCACCATGCACTGAGCGGCCCATCATAGGACTCAGCCATGGAACCTAGACCAAAATACTAGACTAGGACTCTTCCATGGTACACTGTCAGGTGGCAGAGGAACCAATCCCCATGGCAGGTTGCCAGGAACGGACAAGAGAAGGAAAAGTCCTTACCATCTGCTTTTATTCAATATTCACAGAGAGAGGCTTGGGAATGCAGCCTCTCAGAATAATGGCGTTGCCCCGAGTGAATCTCCATCCCTTCCATCTCTCCCACTTCCTCATGAGTCATCGCGACAGGTGATGAAAAGTGCCCTCTGCCTTTGAGCTCTTTGCTCTCCTACTTTCAAGGCCCGCCGTGTTCTGGGAGAGGGCGGGGTCTGGAATGCTTTCTAAAGACAGAGTCCATCAGCTGTCGCTCCCCTGGTGGTGCTTCTTCTTCTTCCTCCTCCTCTCCCATTATTTCCCAGTCTTTCCTCTCATTTGCCTCTGAGCTGTGAC